ATATTGGCAGATATAGTAGTAATGAATAAAAGGGGTCTTAAGCATGCTTCACTTGGTACCAACACATTTACCTATGATTGTATGTTTAAAAGTAAGTTGTTGGCAGAAAATAGCTCTAGTTGTGACCCTTTTGACTCTTGTGTTGACTTAAGCAGTCATCGAGTGGTTCAAATTGAGCCATTTATGATTCTCAATCTTAGCTAAGGTTGTTGTGGGCCATCGACTCCATTCTCTTTAGCAATCTAGAAGTGTGAGAGGTGAGATGTTTAGTTACAAGTCCAAGTACCCGTGCTAATGGTCTAGAACTTGCCCCGAATATTTATCTAGGCGAATTTCTAAGTGTAGCTTGGCTTGAGAAATGATTGTAGGATCTCCTTGATCCAACTTAAAATTTGAAATCTTTCATATCCTACTAATGTTATATCCCTAGTCAACCCCTTCGAGCCTAAGCCATTTTTCTTTCAAAAAACCACGTTACAAGCCTTTATCCATTCTGTAATGACCCTATCTTGGCACCCAATCTTTCCTTAGCATTCTTGAGAAACAATTGGCAAAAACATAAGTTTGGGGGAGATACAAGGAGATTGAAGTGATAAAGTACAAAGAAGAGAAAGAAATGAAGAAAAGGGAAGGCAAAGAAAAGAAAGAAGGAACAAAAAGAAAAATGCCAAAAAAGAAAGTGAATAAAAGTGAAAAGTTGAAGGGAATTCAAAATAAAATAAAGAGGAAAGGCTGAAGTAAATAGAAAAGGAGAAAAGTGAATGTCATGATCAAGAAATACTGACGTTACGTCTCTCTACTTCCCCCGAGGAAGAAGAAAATGACTCAAAGAGTCGAGAAAGTATGAGCCAAAAAGAGAAATAGAGTGCTTAAGGAAAGATGAAACTATTCTATTCCAACAAGTCCTACCTTTGTCCAAAAGCCTTCATCACATCCCACAAAAGCCCTACATGATTTCAAGTTGAGTGAGCTTACATTAGTGGTGATTTACATAAGGGGCAATATTATGGTACTTAAAGCCAGACTTGTGACGTTCTATTGAAAGAGATGAGCGAACTTTTCACAATCCTTGCTTCGAGTTTTATATTCAAAAGTGAGATTTGCTAATGGAAAGTAGAGGAGGAGGAGTTTGGGAACCACAATGACCTACATAAAGAGTGAGCTTCCTTGATAAATAGAGTCAACTCTTGATGCTCTAGTGTCACACTAGAACTCTTGTACTCAAAAGGTTAAATCATTGTGTTGTTGATAATTCATATGTGTTGTGGGTAATTGTTGGTCCCAATTGATGTATAATTGATTCGCCTTGGGCTAGCTGAAATATCCCTTTTTCTAATGAAGGTGGGAATTGCCTTATTTGCTTGAGGACAAGCAAAAGCTTAAGTTTGGAGGAGTTTATAAGTAGGGATTTTTTGACCGCTTATTTGCTCTCTTTTACTTGTGTTTTAGCTAAACAATGCTTAATGGCATTCCCAAAAACTAAAGAAATGAGCTTGCTTGCAGGAATATTAGGAAACGAGCCAAAAAAGTCAAAATCAACTCATAAAGGAGTCAAAAGTGAACAAGAACCAAAACAGGTCAAAAAGGACAGTAGTGCGGACCGCACAATTCTAGTGCGGCTGCAGAGGGAAGATTCAGAGAGTAGTGTTTAGGCCAGCTAAAGGCATGCAGACCGTACCAAAATTTTGCAGTTGCAGGAGGTCAAGTGAGGCTGCATTCATTATTATGCGGTTCGTAGGATTGAAGAATCAGAGAGCCATTTCAAGTCCAAAAGCAGGAAGTGCGGACCGCATCATTTTTGTGCGACCGCATAATCAGAAGTGCGGCCGCACCCATTTTTATATGGACGCAAAAGCCCCGAAGTTCCAAGCCCAAGTTCCAAAGAATGCGGACCGCACGATAATTGTGCGACCACAGAAGCTCATTGTGCGGACCGCACAACCTTCGCAGGGGCATTTTTGTCTGATATTTTCAGCTTAGTATAAATAGAACTTTTTGTCATTTTTAGGTAAAAATTAGTTTTTAGAAGTGCACATGAGCCATTTTCCTTACTGTTTTGAGTGATTTTGTACTAGATTAACTTCTAAACATTAGATTTTCTTTCTCTAATCAATTATTATGCATTCTATCTTAAATTCTTCTTGTATTTCTTTATATTTCATGAGTAGCTAAATCTTTAGATAGGGTTGTTACCCAACCATAGTATGGGTACTTAATGGGTATTTAATTTAGGGCTTGTTTGTGATTGGGTTAGTGATATTTAGCCTTGTTCATGCTTGAATTCTAGAATTAATGGTTGTAAACATTGATTCATGCCTATTTGACTTAGCCTTTACTTGAGAAAGAGAGACTAAGTCTAGGAAAACTTGGCTAACAAGGAATTGGGGTGAACTCAAGAAACTAGTAGCCCTAATTAAAGGGTCAAACCTAGAGATAGTAAGACCCGACTTGAGCATATATCACTTGATTTGTGCAATACCTATTTGGACTTGAGAAAGTCAAATTGGGCAAAATCACTCAAACTACTGAGAGGTATAGAGTGGGTAGTTGCATGTGATTGCGATATTATGACCCCGACTAATCAAACTTAATCTAGAGTTTACAACCCATTAGGTAACCACCTAGATAGAAGTCACGACCCTAGATCCTTTACCATTTGGAAAACAACCAAACCCAAAAATATTGTCTTCTAGTTTATTAATTGCAATCAATAACTTAAAGTAGAAATAGAAACAACCAACAAGAATGTCGAAGTGTAATTTGAGGTACATTATACAATTACACTAGGTGTATACCTAATCCCATTTCTAACTCCCTGAGGATTCGACCCCGACTTGTGTTGGGTTTTATTATTGCTTCGACCACCTCTCTACCTAATTGTGGTGTGAGTTTGGGCGACATCAGTTATCTGCAAGCGTTAGTCCAATTCATAATATATGTAAAGAAAAGTAATGAATGGGGTCGTACCTTAGTAGTTGTATCGTTTTAAGTAGGTTATATTCCATTTGTTCGGTAGCCGCTCGTCGTTCACTACTTCGAGTTTGTATGATCCTTTGCCGGTGATCTTGATAATTCGATATGGACCTTCCCAATTTGGCCCCAGCTTCCTTTCGTTTGGGTTCCGGGTGTTCAGTGTCATCTTTCTTAGCACCTAGTCCCCGACATTGAAGTGTCAGAGGTTAGGTCTTCGATTGTAATACCTTTCGATCCATTGCTTTTGGGTGGCCAACCGAATGAGGGCAGCCTCGCGCCTCTCGTCTAACAGTTCCAGGCTCGTACTCATGGCCTTATTGTTTGACTCTTCGATCGCATATCGAAACCTAAGACTTGGTTCTCCTACTTCGACCAGTACTAGCACATCGGCACCGTAGACCAATAAGAACGGGCTGGTCCCAGTACTAGACTTTGAGGTTGTATGGTATGCCCATAGGACTTTGGGCAAAATTTCCTTCCATTTTCCCTTAGCGTTGGTCAACCTCTTCTTAAGATTTTGGAGTATAGATTTGTTCGTTGACTTCGCCTATCACGCTAAGGTGATAGGGTGTTGATGGGATCCTTTTGATCATATGGTCTTCGAAGAATTTGGTAACTTTACTGCCAATGAACTGCTTCCCATTGTCGTACACTGTTGTGCCCCTTTTTCTCGCGAAATCGGATTTTGACATTGACAACTCTTTTAAAGGAGGGATTATTAAAGAGAGAGTCGTCACCTAACGGATTAAGGTGCGTTAGGGCACCTATTTGCAAATGACTCGGGTTTACTAGTTTGCGTCACCAGAGATAGGGTAAGGGCTCAAATTACCTCGAGGAGAAGGTGTTAGGCACTCCTCGAGGTCTACAATGGTGGGTCCCGACCGAACTTAAATCATGTGAATTAGTCTAAGGGAAAGGAAGCAATTTGGATAAATGAAATAAACGATTTATTTTAAATAGAAAGGGGGGGGGGTCCTAAGTTTTTTAGCCTAAAGGATCACCTCGTGCAACATAAATAATACTTCGTAACTCCCTCAAGTGGGGGTGTTACTCATATTATTCAGCGAACACAGACTATCATCTCATGCTACCCGATTACTATCTTTAAGTTGTTTACTTAAGGCACTCTATTTAATTCTAAGTCGTACCCTATGCGTGCACTACCCGTCCCATGCCCATGGTCTAGGAGGCATTTGGACCTCTGTCAGGGTGGTTCTAGACTTTAACTTAGGCTGCTCAAAAGGAAAAATACTAAGCGACAAACAAAAAATAGTTAGGACTTTCAAATAGAAACAAGTATAGGCTCAAGTTGGCCTCCGCCAAACTGGTTAACCTTGGCAGATTTTATCAGTTACCGGATCCTATAGGCAGGATATCTATGTGATGTTGAGCAAGCAGGCAGTTATGTACAAAACCAGTTTCTTAATGCAATTATTAGAACCTACAAAATTTGCCTACTGATTTTAGCATAATACGATTAAGCCTACTAGCATGGTATCTAGGTGTTTCATGTGATAGTAAATAGGGGCAAGTCACAGAAACATATCCAGATCATTAGTTTTAACCCTATAGGCATGTTTCTAATGGAGGCAGCAGCATAGTGTTTGGAACTCATAAATAAGCGGGCAGAAATAACGATTTAACAGATTCAGACGTGCATTCTATAATTTGATACAAATTTAGATCCTATAGGCATAATTTCTATAATTTGAACAGAACAGTATGTAAACAGGCATTTTGCACACACATTGGATCACATCATTTCTTATAGTCATGGTTTCTAGCAAAGTATAACATACCAGAACCAAGCATTAAGTCTATAGGCATGGTTGCTCGTATAAGATGATTAAATATAATAAGGTACCTATAGACATGATTCCTAACACATCACATATAATAGCACACTGTTGGACCTATATGCAAGATTTCTAACACATTACATATAATAATATATAGTTGGACCTATAGGCAGGATTTCTACCTAACTTTTATTGCAAAAGAATGTAAAATAAGAAACCCTTCCCAATTTCACTAACACCCCAGAATTGTTATTACAAAATAATTATTATACACCAGAATTTAATGTAATAAACTACAAAGTAAGTATAACTATAGGGAGCCTACTGTAGGCCCAAATACACCTGGGCAGGCCAGGCCTTCAACTCACAATAGCTCTAAAATCCATGTTCATAGATACAACATAACCAGTTGTTGAGGGATTCACCCGTATATCAGAACCCAAATCCCTAGTGTATCAGAGTTTCCAAGGGCTTCAAGAACCCAAGGCAGTGCTCACACTAGAGAGATTGATCAGAAACAGTTCAAGGAAAGACTAGAGGCCAAGTCCTAGTATGTCAGAGTTCACAAGGGTCTCACATGGACCCTGAGTATTGCTCACACTAGGAGGTCAGAGGACAGAACCTAAATAGCCTTGGCTTTCAGCTGGCTAAGAATGAGGATTCAAAAGGATCAGATAGTGAAGGAATAGGGGGAAGTAGAATGTATTAGGGAATCCACTTAAGGGCATAGTCATATATTGAACATATACAAATAGTAGACATGCTTAATCCCAAGCAAACTTAGTCAAGTTTTAGGGAAATAAATTCAGTCACATGATAATAAGACAAGTTATACAGTAGATTCATAGTGATAACAGAGGATCCAGATTAGACTAAGCGTAGGGATTAGTGTCATAGGAAGGAATCACAATAATTAGCAATAGATTAGGACATGTTAAAATTGATTGGGGCAATTACTAGAAGTGTCATAATATAGTAAGAACAGAGTTAAACATGCCACATTATAATGTACTCAAAGCAGAGTTGTTATACCATTAAGGAAGATATCTATACCTAATTAATCAATCCACAGGAAAGGCATAAAAGCATACTTACAAGCAGGTTCATAACTTAACTTCAAGAGATAGTTATCAATAATATAGACTTAAGCAGAATTTCATTAATCAACTCAAAATAAAGTTCAAATATGTCTCAAACTACAAGTAATATCATTTAGGATGATATAGTCTAATTGTAGTAACACATTGAGCAAATAATCATAATAAAATGGTAGAGGGTCTAACAACTCACCAGTTAAGATGAAACATAGAAGAAAGGAATCCAACAGTGTAGTAAATATTAGCAAACAGAAGCAAGAACTTGGGGATTTTTGACCTTGGCTTTCAGCCAGCCAAGAATCAAAATACAGAGTAAGATTATTCAGTAGAGTAGAAGCACACGACTTTAGTTTATAGTGGTATAAATTCATGCAAATATCTACTAAGGTTAACTAATCTCATGTGGTTAAAGCAAAATTAGTTTGAAGTGACTTTAAAAAAATGGTGCATGCTTTACCTGTATTTGTGGACCATTGAGGCGGCCAAAAACTTTCACAACCAGCACAATCGCCCTCTCTAGTTCTTACTGTTCGATCACCACCACGACAAAATTCCTTTGTAGCGAAGCGGGAGTGAGATTGTACCATTCATATAAGAGCCCAAAAAAGGTTTTGTTTTACAATAGCAAAAGATCACATAAAAGGTCAATACTTCCTGCAGTTGGAAAGCATAAATTGGCGCGTAAGAAAGGCAATCCGGATTGTAATAAAGAAATAAATAAATCAAACTGCATTATATTATAAATATATTGATTCAGAAGTCAGAGAAAAGAAGACAATTTCAACTATAAATACTTAAAAAATCTCACCTTTACACTTTTTTTGATGGTGTTGGTGGTTGTAGTTTCAGCCTTGCGCTTGAATATTTAGATATCACATCTGCTGTTTTCCATTTCTATCTCATCTGTACTTTGAGGCTTTACCTTGTTTTGGCTTCTCTCGCTAATTATTGGTGCAAAGATATGTTCCTTTTCTACGTAGGACAAAACTGATAGACTTGTACGCACAAAGTCAGAACTTTTTCAAGATGATTTTCTTAATTGAATTCGAAAGATTCTGTCTGAAAATGTGTCCAAGACATGGTTAATGGACAAGAGTTGTTTCTGAAAATGAAGAAAGTCAATTTTCAGATTTAAAGTGCCGGATAAAACAAAGTTGAGTGAAAGTAATATAAAAGTACATATAGATAATATTTTGCATGCAAAAAGGATTCAATAATGACTCATATAACTTCGCTAGAAATGATAGACTAAGAACATGTATAAAGTGCAGTAACAGAAATAAATAATTTGTATAAGTTTATACCTTGACACAGGTTGTGTCAAATATGTCTTCTGCTGTCATTGAGAGCATCTTTTCAGCGACATCACCGGAAATCATTGCAGTTGTTGAACCGCTACCATCAATAAGATCAATCTGAAACATACACCTGCAACCAAAGATGGTTTACATGTTGCAAAGATGTATTAATTCAGATACAGGTATAAATCTTGCAATAACTTGGAAGTTGTTATGTCATATTTATCAGATACAACTATAATGGAAGAGTCTCTTTTTAACTATTGATTTACAGGTGACAAAAATTTATTATTCAAAAGAGATATACTTTATTTATTTCTTACATTAAGTTTTCTGGAATTTGATTATGTAGTTAAGGGGTAGAAGGGAGAAGTTCAGTTGTTAAACAAATATGTACAATTTATTATCAGCAACCACTTATGCTAATTGTGTGGTATGGAGCTACAACACTAAGTAAGTGACAAATTATTTTTACTTCTACAAACAAAATTATATGGCAAAGCGATAATACCGAGGAACTAAAGTTGTCCTTCGTTTATACTTGGTGCAGTCAAAATCTCTTCTTTCCTTAGTTCGCAACTTCTGTTTGCAACCCGAGCATTCAAGCACACAGAACTTTTGCAAGTCACTTGAAATTGATATTTCGGCCTCGACATAAAAAATCCCAGTCTGGCAACAAAAAGAAAATCACATGTTCATCCGGGTTTTATAAGTAAACTACACACATTTAGATATCTACACACTTACAGAAGTTTGTGACTGAATTTATAGAGACAGGATATAATTGTAATTTTGAATTAAAACCAAATGTGAATTAAAAAAGAAAAAATAAGTACTTTCATTATTATTAAATGTTAATAAACAAGACTTTTTCTTTAACTCCTCTTTTACTTCACATAGCTTTTCACTCCTTTCCCTCATAGCGGAATAGTTGGTTTTATTACCTACAAACCAAAATTAATTCCTGCAATGGGAATAATTTTTTGTTGGGTAGGAATCATGAGAGAGGTGGATGAACTTGGTGATCTTGAGAAGTTGTCTGATGCACAACCTCCTGCGAGCATGTCTTTGTTTGCTTTTGCCCTATCATCACAACATATAGGAAATTGAATACGTTGTACACGTATATAATGAAGTCAGAGAATAACACTAAAAATCCTATACCACTTTATCAACTCCAATGCTTATGGATAAGCAGGATGAATTTGTATTGTTGAGTTGAATCTGGTTTGCAATGATAAACCTGTANATATATATATATAAAGGAAGATATTTGGGCACACTGATACCGTCATAAGTAGATATTCCGATACTCCTCCTAAGGATTACTGGATATCTTTCATCGTCGTTCATTTTTGGCTCGATTTTCTTCTGGATTATGGTTCCTTCAACTTCTGAGAAGTCCTCCCATAAGGTTAGAAGAAGTCGTTTTTTCCTGATAAATGCAGAATATAATTTGCTATAAGGATACATGTACGTTTTTGAAAAGTCAAATTGCAATTAGCCGTAATATAGTGTACTTACTGATTGTCGGTGACAGTAATCTCGCGACACTTATTTGGACCTCGACCTGCATATTTTGGAGGGCCACAATGGACAACAACTGCTAGTATATCTGCCAATATAAGGTTTTTTGAGAGAATATTTTTATAAAAAAAAAAAAGTATAATGAGGTATATATATTAATATTTTTGAAAAAAATGAAGTATAATGAGATGTGTATATTATATAGAATCATATATGTTTCATCAACTAATGTTGGGTAGAAGTGAGTTACCAATTTCTGTAGCAGGATCAGGGGTCATATGAGCAATGTGGTCAAAATCAGCAAGATTCAACTTGCGTGGTGGTGGCAATGGTATCTCTCTCTCACTATTTTGTTCGACCAGTTCTACTATAGTTTCTTTGTCAAGCACCCAATAAAATTTATGTAAGGGTCTTCCATACTGTGTAGATGAAACTTTAACTCTTGCAGTGAAGATGAGATATGTGTGGAAGAGCTTAAGCTTGTCTGCATAATATTGAATGTCATCTCCCCACACCAGGGGCGGACCTAGGTTGGTAGTTGAGGGGTCACGTGATCCCGTTAGCCTCGGCAAAAATTTTGTATATACATTGTGAGCACGTGATTTTTGCTTCACGGAAATTACTCCAAAAGAAATCAAAAAATAAAACAAATGGTTTTGTTGTACAATTTTTTGGATTTTACGTGGCATTTTTGGTAGTTAGTTGTAGTTTGTGTGTGATTGTTTAGTTTTGTTGAATGAAAATGCAAAAATGCATGTCTCATGTGAGTTTAGGATATCGTTCTACTATTAGGAATTAATCAAACCATAAGTTGGTTTTAAAAGGGAAATCACAAAATATGCAGCTGTTATTCTATTTGTTGTCCTTGAGTGATTTTATTTTAATTAAATGTTAATGTGTGTGATAGTTGTTTAATATTTGTGTAGTTTTGTTTTACAATTTAGGTGGGATTTTTAGAAATTAAAGAAGAAAAAGAAAGGGGTTTTCGGATTGGGCCAGTTTGAATTAAATAAGACCAGGCCCAAACCAAACCCCTCACAACCCAGTCCGAATACCCTTTTACCCGGTCCAATTAGGCTGGCCACACGACCGTCCAAACGAGGTCGTTTTGTCACCCTCAATTTGGATCGTTAATCTCACTAGATTGACGGTCCAGATCACTCACCCATAAC